TGTGCCTCGTTAAAAACCCTCTCAGCCAAAACCCATTTTTCTATTTTTTGGGATAAAAGACTGAGGCAGGAAAAAAGTGCACAGCTCATTCGTACAAAATTAGCTGAAATAGAACTTGAGATGCGTAGCATTCCAAGTTCGCGGTATAGGTTTTCCGCTGAGCTCTTCTAGTCGGTACGCTCCATTTTCCAAGTCTTCTGTAACTCGGAATGGGCCACCCCAAGTGGGTGCAAGCTTCTCATCTGACGTGTCTTTCCGTGCTTCGCCTAGCAATTGCCATACCAAGTCGCCAACTCGGAAAGAGCGAGGTCGCACCCGGGTGTTGTATCTTCGGCAAGCTCGGAGTTTGCAGACTTCTTCGTGGATTTGAGCTTCGTCTCTAAGCTCGTAAACCAAGTCGAGGTCGGCTGCTAACTCTCGAGCGTTTTGCTCGCTGTTGAAAACTTGGCGTCGGTGGGATGTCTCTCCGACTTCCACTAGGATCATTGCGTTAGTTCCGTAGGTCAGCCTATAAGGTGTTTCTTGCGTGGTTGACTGTGGGGTGCAATGATATGCCCAAAGGATGCTGGGGAGCTCGTCGGCCCACTGTCCTTTGGCGTTCCCGAGCCGCTTCTTAAGTTCCCGGAGAATGACCTTGTTAGGGAGAAAGAGGTTTAATGTTATATGTAAAATACACTTAAGGCAAACGTACCTCACCATGATAGTAACAATGGATAAAATTCAAATATCGAATCTAAAGGACTAGGTTCAAGCAATTACCAATTTAATTGTGATTTTTAGTTGTTTGAATAAAAATTTGATTTGAAAGAAGATGAAAATTAAAGCAAAAAAAAAAGATTGAAAATCTTAGGGTTATAACTTATTGTTCTCAATTTCTTCCAAAGATAAAATTCATGAATGAATAAATAATGTCGTTAATTATATTTCTAAAGGAAGTCAAAAATCTTTATTTTAAGAAAAATCTAAATTGATCATTGGTGATTTATTCTAAAAACAAAGCATAAGCACATAGAAGCGAGTTAGTAAATTAGTTCAATTAAAAATTAAGAAAATAGTTTGATCATTCCAATTTTCAAATAATTCAGTTATTTTAAAGTTTCGTTAATTAAAAGAGTTTCATCATGCAATTTTCAATTAACTAAGATAAGAATTAGAAGCATTAAAATAATACGGTGATTTAAAAGAAGCAATTCATGAATCCATCATTGAGGGTTCATGAGGAACAATTACATCACAACCCTATAAAAAGAGAAAGAGAAAAATATATAATTAAACTAACAATTGAATAGAAATTGGATAATTACAATGTGTTCTGGACACCCTTATCTATAGGTAAAAATTAGGGTGAACTCTTGAAGTACAATCGGGCATATCATATAACTTTAATATCTTGGACTTGGGCCCATTTCATGGAGTGGGAGTGAGCATATTGGTAAAATATGGGCTTAGGTCTCTTTTAGGGAGCACAGGTGTGCTTGGTGTTCTGAAGGAAGCACGATTGCGCATATTGGTAAGCACAAACATGCTTAACATTCTAGTCATGCATAGTGACGCGCTTCTCTTAAAGTACGGTCATGTATAAATCAAGTCTAGTTGTGCATATCTTCAACCTTCATATTTACTCCATTTTATCTTTTAATTGCCTTGATTTCATTCATTTTTAAATTTTTCCTATTTGTTGCGCACTTAATAAAAGAAGTGAAGTATTATTAATGATTTAACATTAATTTCAAGCAAAATAACAATGAATATCAAGTTATTAAGCAACATTTTGAGGATTAACATTTAACCAATGTCTTAAAAACTAAACTGGTCATCAAACCAGTCAAGATATTGAATTAGTGGCTTAAAAGTCGAACTAGTAAATTACTAATTAAAGCCCATGATTTATTACTGATAAGTGCTATGATTTTATTAAGTTTATGGCCTAATTTGAAGCACTTATATCAATTTTTCTTGCTTTAGATCTTGTTTTTAACTCAAAACATATCTAAATTGTTAGGTGATCACATTTTGTCTTTGAATCATGTTTTTAGGTAACTCACAAGTATTTGGTTGTTGTTTGTAGTTTGGGAGAAAGTTAGGAAAGGGGGAAGGAAGCCAAGGACAAAGTGATGAACTCAAAGCAAAAGAAATTTTTGCTTAAGTCTTTGGGCTAAGCCTCAGATCCACACTTAGCCTTAGCTTGGCAAAGAATCACTAGAACAAAATTTAATCCTCAAGCTGAGCGTGGATTTGGCACTGAGCGTGAGAGTCCCAGAAACTCATTTCTTTCTAAACCTATCCTCAAGCTTAGCATGGCATCTCACGCTTAGCGTGGATTGTGCTGACATGTCATTATTCACATAAGACAAAAGTTTTTATGACTTAAAAGATGATATTTTCGAGGAGAAAGTAAGGATAGTCATTCTTGGAGTTTGTGTGGCGGCTGGAGAGCTCTAGAACCTTCAAGATCAAGCTTCTTCTTTTCTTCATCATTTGTAAAGTTCTACATGTCTATGTGTAGCTAATTTCACCTTTGTTGGGGTTTGATGTAACTAAACCCCAACATTTATTAATAATGCTTTAGAATCAAGTTTTGCACTCTAAGTGTTTACAAAAATACCAAAAAGAGTTGTTATTGCTTGTTTACATTATTTACTGCAACAAATCAATTTATCATTGCTTTCCAGTAGCTTAGTTATTATAACAAGTGAATTTTAAAGCATTGTGCAAGTCTCTTGAGAGACGATACTCATACTTTAATTGAACTACTTATACGATTTGGTACACTTGCCGAGGAAGATAACAATTATTAATTTTTTTAAGAAAATATTCATATCTTATATTTTTATACCTATAAATTTCAATATAATTAATATAATTAATGCATTAAATAATTAATTAATATAATTAATTACCTCAAAAAATCTTAAAAAAATTAATTAATATATTATTGACAGAGCAATTAATTTATAGATTAGTTATAAATTAATATAATTAAATATATAATTTTAAATTAAAAATATATAAATTATTAAAGTCAATTGTATAACATGACATATTTATTAGTCATTAATGCATTAAATAATTAAATAATCACATTCACCTAAATTCAAGTTTCATCTTATTTAAAATTATTATATTTTTGTTAAGCAGGTGATATGTACAATTAGCAGAAATGATGTTACACAAACATGCATTTAAGTTCAAAACACATTATCTGGTGTGACCAAGGCTTGAGCGTCACTGTTGTTTTTCTTTTTCCTAACATTTAGTTTGGACTTTTAACTTCCTATTGTATATATAATAAATAAAAAATCTCTCTCTTAGTTGTGAATCTTGGTCCGAGCAAATATGTACATATTCGCGATCGCGAGTTTAGAATTGTAAAAGTTGAAAATGAAAATGCAGGATATCAAAATTAAAAAAAATGAAAAATCAAAACAGTTTCTATAAGCATTCGTCACACGCAAATTATAAAAGCAACCATTGTCCATATCTAAAACTAAATATATAAAATTGTTTTTTATTTTTTATTTTTTTTGCCAATAGAAAAAGAAAGGAAGAAATTAAGGATTAATTGATGTTGGTGTGTCATCAGACTGCAACTCCTCCCTTTAAGTTAGTGAACTGAACCCCAGTTGGTTTCAATTCATGATCACCATCCTTGTCATCATCATTTTCATTCTTACAAGAACAGTAGCAAGCATATAATATAAGCTGAATAAGTCCAGAAATTGCTCCAATTCCATTGCTGATCTACAAGATCATACCAAGGTAAAGGGTAAAAATCAGAACAACATTATTAATTAATGATTAACAAGAGAAATTGGAAAGCATTTAAAGGTACATTATCCTTTTCTAACCACGTTTTGTCCAGTCAGAAATGGAACTCCTAACCACTTGCTTATGAACTAAGTTCATCATCACTACTCGTACAAACCGCATTGGTAATAAGCGACAAGAAATAGAAATTAACAAAGGTGAAAAGTGAATTTGATAATTACCAAGACATAAATGTCAAACGGGTGGATGAGAGCATATGTTGTCCAAGCCACACCATTAAGGAAGTTAGCGAGAGAGAGCCAGAATGGCATGTATTTCACGCTCTTAGTTTTTATAACCTTTGCCTGTTCATCATACATACAAAGACAAAAGGTGTGAAAAATGTTATGCATGAATTGATTGATTATGTATGAATCAATGTATGGCTCAGTCATGTAAGTAATCAGATAGAAGACTTACCATAACTGTAAGAGGAGATACATACATCATAACATTGAACACATCGCTGAGAACACCAACCACTAACGACCTTTTGCGTGTGCCGTGTAGTGCCAGCATTGTTACAAGAACAATGGCAACAAAGAAAATGACCTCGATGAGCAAAAAAAGCAGTAGCTTTTTCTGAAGTAAGGGAAGAGACAATGAATAGCAGAACAATGATAACATATTCAATTAGGGAACAAGTTGAGTCTTATTCTGTACATACATCAAAATTAAACTAACAAATAACTAGGCAAATTAGGTGATAGATGTCCACATATATTCTACATATATAGGGGGACCAGTATATTTGTTAAAAGTAAAATGCCAATGAGAGAACCTCTACTCTAGGGAATATTAACTCACACATGACACGAAATATGGCATATAACTAAGATTGGCTCAGTTATGTAGCGATACAACAGAGCATAATCTTCATCAGCTTTCAACGTTTTATTACTGCTCAGAGTTTTGATAAAAGAAAAGCTAGAAATACGTTGCTAACACTCTTT